GATTCTCCGAGTATTCATTGAATTCATTTCAGATTTCCTTTTCAGTCTCACTCCTTCCCTTGGAATTCTACTCACATTGAAAGTCTCCTAACAATTCTTTGGCATTTCTCCTCAGAAATTCCTTAGATTTCTTCTCATAATTTGTTTGGCAAACTCTCCTGAATTCATTTTCCGAATTCTTTTGAAGATGTTCTGGAGTTATTCTCACATTTAATTGTAATCCTCCTTTTAGTATTTTCAAAAAATTCCAATGACTTGTGCTTCGTATTAATTTTTTCCCACAAACTTTATGAAATTATCCTCAGAATGCCCTTGGAATTTTCCGGTGAAGTTCACAAGAAGTATGCTCCCATTTTTCATTAAAATTTACTTTTAACTCAATTCAGGGTTTCTTTTAATTCTACTCAAAACTAAGGTTTCTCATGAAATCTAAAATTCCTCAGAACTTCCTCGAAAGCCGATTGCATTTGATGTTTTTCTGAATGATTTTTTTTCCCAGAGCTCCCTTGGACTGAGGTCCTTAGAAATTATAATAAAATTCCTCGAGTCTTTAAAACTGTGCATGGAATTTGATACCAGATTCTTGAAAATTTCTTGAAGTATTATGTATTATAGCTGTTAAGCCAGAGCTAGTTCAAATTATTTCTTTTTTTTTTTAAGAAATATGCATGTTCCAAAACCAAAAAAAAAATGTTTTTTTTTAACGTAGAACTACGTCTTTGTTGATTATACAGGGGTGCAAATCAAAAAATATGTGTGGTTAAATAGTGTTAGGTTTTGAAAGCTTGTAACTTTGTCATTTATACCGTTTGCGTGTTTTTTTTTATTTATTTAAATGGGGGATGTTTCTCAGAGTCTTAAACTATGTTAATCATCGATCGAGTTTCCACTTGCTGCAATTACGGCCTCCACATGCTTCCGGAATGTACGGCAGGTTCTAATAGTGTAGTCTGGATCCATTTCTCTCCAGGTACGGATCAATGTTTGTCTGAGGCTTGCTGTACTCGGGTGGTGTTTAGAACAGACCTTGGCCTTCATGACGCGCCATATTGAGTTATCCAGCGGATTAAGATCGGGGCTGGATGGTGGCCACATATTCTTCGCCCAGAACGGAAAATGTTCTTGCAACCATTTCTGAGTGCCGTTCGAGGTGTGGCACGGAGCCCCATCTAGTTGAAATACAACATTTGGCTTCGGACCGTACTGTTCTTTGATCCACAGAAGAAAATATTTACTTAAAATCCCGATGTAGACCTCCGTGTTGACTTTGTCGCCTTCTGGAATGAACACATCATCAATCCAAATACCATAACGCTAGCAGGATGCTTGGTCAGATACATGTTCTTGTGCTCGTCGGCAACGTCTTTTACCGGAAGAGAACTAATATACCGGTCGGTTCTGGAATTTGATACGGGATCGACGGTAAACATGCTCTCGTCGGTGAACAGGATAACCGGATTTTTTCGTTTAAGGAAGTTCAAGATTTTCTTGCATCGTTCGACTCGTAGCTCCCGGATGCGGTTGGTAATCATGTGAGTTTTTTTTCCGTGCCCTCGACTTCGCCCCGTAATCTTCCTTTGCGATCTTCCGTGCCGTAAAGTCACTGATCCCGTGTTTCTTTGCCATTTTCCTTATTGAACGCACTGGATTCACCGGAATCTTACTTTTGATAGCAGCGATAACCCACGGAACCCGAGCTGACCTAGGACGACCTGTGGCCACCTTCGCGGATAGTTGTCCTTTCTTTTCTCGGTCTAAAACCCTTTTGACGGTCCACCGGGACACTCCCACGGCGATTGAAGTGTCTTTTTGCTACATTTGCGCGTGGGACAAATCACGAATACGCTGCCACTTCGTCATGGTGCAACTGTCAAACTAAGTAAATCATTTTCTTTTATACACAGCCTACTACGGTATGAGTTATAGGTTACGTGCATGCAACGAAAACCAAGGCATTGTATGCACAGGTGAAACGGGAACCTTATTTGTACGATGGTGCAAACATTATCACGCATACGTCAGATGAAATTAAAATCCAAATACGCCAATCGATAGGATATTACTTAAAGAATCTGCAGAAATAAATACTTTTTAAATTTTGAATCAAAAAACTTTCGAAAAATACGCAAATGTTAGTTTTATCACTGTTTTCATGAATTAAACGTTTTCCCCAAACCCAGTCATCATAAACGATTACCACTTGGTTACACATCATTCTGCTTGAACCTGAAAAGATATAAAACAGCGCTGCTTTCCTGCCTCTGCTCATTACCGCTTCCGACGGCTTGGCACTAGGTCCGGTAGCAAGCAGGACCAAGACAGCGGCGTGACCATGACCACCAAAATGAAGAAAATTATGTATGTAACCCCCCCCCCTCTTTTACAACAACCTCTCCACCCGAGTCTCCACCCCCCTTAACAACAACCCGAAAAAAGACATGGAATACGACGATCACCGATTCCGGGACATAAATTTTAAGCAAACCACAATTTAATTGTAATTAAGTAAAAACAATTTTATACACGCAGAGCCAACATTTTTTAAATTCTTTGAGGCTTCCAGGTTTTATAAGGAGACAAATACGTTATACTCTTATCTCTGTCATGTTACGTCCAATTTTCGTTCTCTTTAGATCATTTGAAAGGTATTGAATGGAACTTTCCTCGTAGGCAAATTGTTCAATGTAATTTTCAAATTTTGTGTGCTAAAAGTTCACCCAAACTTACAATAATTTTCAAAGTTTACTCTGAAGAATCGTGACTGATTTTCTCAGAATTGGGTTGGCCAAATTTTGAATTAAAAGTAGTAGTAGAACATTTAGTCCATTAAGGGGTTTCGCCACCCTAGGATTTTCAAAAAATCGATTTTTTTTTACATAAAAAGGTACTACGAAGTGTCAAGAATAAGGGACAATTGGTTCTATGTCGAACAAATTAAAATTCCGAAAGTTATAAGCGAAATTACAAAACTTTGCATCACGCACCTGAACGGTTCGGGCCGCCAGGGCCGCGTTTTTTTCGATACAACATTTCTCTCCGCGGCCCACACGATAGCATCTGCAATGTTGACTCAATTTGATCTAGACTTTGACGATTGCATTCTCTGATTAATTATCTAGAGAAGTACATACGAACTTTTCAATTGATCAAAAAATGCAATTGTGGTAAACAATTTTAGAAACAAATTTCAGGCGAAAAAACTGTTTTTTTGCAAAAACAAGTCCCATTTGCGTAAAATTCAAAACTTTTTCATCTCCGTATGTACTTCTCTAGGTATTCTTGTATAAAATAAGAAAAACCACTCGTTTTTGTTCTAGGTTCATATTTACGACGAAGAAAGTGTGGGCCGCGTAACACTACACGGGAAGCAGTGCCAGGAACTCGCAGTGCTGCCAACTGCTACACATGGTTTCCCCTTATGAAAAAATACTGTAAGCACCCCTAATTATGTGTACTATAAGCCCATATAAGTTAATTTAGTATGTGACTTTATTAAATAACAAAAAAAAATTAATGAAGTTGGTGCATTTTTCTGTATTCTAGGGTGGCGTAACTCCTTAAGAGAATTCCTACGATAATTCATAACAATTTGGAAGAAATTTAAAGGAGCTTCAGGAAGGGTTTCAAAGAGGAGAATTCACAGGGAATTTTAAGCATATTTCCAAAGAAACGAAAAGATTCTTAAGAAATTTCCAAGGAAATTCTAATGAGATTTTCAAAAGCTATGTCACACTTTTAGGGGGAGGAAGTTTTGGAAACTGTGACGAGCCTTAAAAAAAACAATTAAGGTCCATATAAAAAATGTGACAAAGGGGGGAGGGGGGTTGAAAATGGGCCAAATTTACGTGACATAATTAACGGACCTTCCCTTATGCTATACCATTCATACCATTCGAATAACCTTTGGAGATCGAAAATTGAACAAAACATATTTGCGTTGTTTTTTGGGGTGTCCTTAAACTTATGATCGGTAGTGTAAATTCCTGAGGATTCCCGGTTTTCCAGATTTTTCAAGTTAGTAGACACCATGACTAATACCATGGGTTTGGTTATAAACTTTCTATTGAATCTTTCGCTTTAAAGGTTCATATCGTACATAAGTGTTTATGAGATAATAATTGAATACATTTATTTGATGCGCCGTCTCTTAGGTCACTTTTTAGTCACTATTTTTACAACAATAAGTCACTATTTGGTCACTTATTTATTCAACATGGTCACTAAAATCACTATTTCTGACAGCAGTGATCGCTACCAGCCCTGCTTACCATTCAGTTTGATTTTCCACCATCGATTCGATCGAATTATCAGGTGAACAAAAATTCTTGAATGGTTGACAACTGAGGTCTGATTTCATTCCCCAGTTTGCTATCTAATTTAATTATCTGTAGACAGCAATCTTTTTTTAATCCATCGAGATATAGAAAATATCGAGATACATAATATCGAGTTGTGGACAGTGTTGATTGTGCTTCTGTTCCCTGAATGCGAACTGAGAATTCAACTTTGTAATTGACCATGCACTTATTGACGTATAGAGTAAGATCTAACACCGAACATTAACATGTTCTGTATTCTTCATGATTTCGTAAGCTATATCTGATATTCTCTGCCTCCCTTTTGAGAAAACGCAAATTTTTTTTTAATCTTACGTAATAAGTGCACGGTGCATTAGAAGGGTCAGATCTCACCAGGTATGGTCAAATTGACGTTCTATTTTAGACCAGTGACCAGAAGTGACGCTGGTTTCGACTTAGGTAATACGGCCCATGGTATAGTTGATTGAGGAATATTTCTCGTTCAATCGTTCATAACTAATTATAAGCTTGAAACATTGGGAATGAACATCGTTGTACAATTACTCTGGTTGAGTACGAAATAATATACAAATAATGTGGATATACCGGCTCAGTGAAAGCATTGAGCGGATAACTCCACCCCCACCGCACTAACGTTATGGCTGATTTCTTTCAATGAATCACGTAATAAAAGACGGTCCGTTAAATTTTACAATTTTTTTGCAGATTTAATCCATTTTTTTTCTCGTTTTTCGTAAATCAATTTTCGGTAAGTTCTTTTTTTATTTTTGCTTTGCTGATGTTCACTTGGCTGTTTCGCACTCGCGGCAGAGATGGTCGGTCTCTTGGGTATGATGATATAGATTTTATTTTAAGAATGAGTCCTCAGCGCTTCACCTCGAATGTACCGCATTCTTATGTCTTATGTATTTTTCTCTTCTTGGAGCAAACAAACTTGTTTTCTTTATCTTTATTACTAGTACATGTTTTCTTTTCTTATTTAAGTAGTTTATTTTATCATTCCTTACTGATTATTAGCTTGATTTTATATAACTGGTTTTGTTGAATCCTTTTTTTCACTCCTTTAATCATTTTCGCAATTCTACCTTTTGCTGTTGCTTTCAGTTTTAGGTTGTTTAGATAGAGTGTTTATATTCATTTGCGTATCTTCGCTTTTGTTGTGTGTGTGAATATTACTTTTTGGTTGAAAGAGGGGTTAGATATTTGTTCATGCTTTATTAAAATGATATTCCTACGCTTCAAAATACATCAATATAAAATGCTTCACTTTTTGCTTCGACTGCATTGTTAGGTGTAGTATAAATGTGTACGCAATGATGTGTTCGTTTTCAAAAATCTTCTTAAAATAAAAAAAAAAGGCGGAGCGCGTTTAGTGCGCCTGTTCCAAATACTAAAAATATCATGCTCGTGACTATCTGGTAAAGCAAACACAAAACAAAAAAGTAACACGAACGATATTAGAGCGCGAAAAGAAAAAGAAAACCGAGACCAAAAACTGGGCGGAAAATAAGATCTAATCTCTTTTCGCGACATTTTTGCTTTCTAAACATCTGATGCCTTCATATTCTCTTTTCCTTTTCTTGCTAGATTATGTACCTTAGTTTAACACTTTTTTCCTCTACTGTTGCTGTTTTAATTGATTTTAAACGGATAGTGTATTCTTTTAGTAATTCTGTAAATTTCTTCCTCCTGGGTATATTTCTGCCAATTCAAAGAGAAAAAAACAGCCTCGCAACTGACAACGGCAACAGCCGCTGCCCAAAAAATAGATGCGGCTTGTTAGTTTTTCTCTGAACTGGCAAAACTAGTTCTTTAATTATTAGCAAATCAAAAACTCTTTATTTTGAACCAAACCGAATATTGGTTGTTTCGACTTTGACGATAGATACCGTTTTTTTTGTTTTTAATTTTTTTGATTCCCGTGGGTGATTCGAATGCGATGGCAATTTATTATAAAACGTTTCCTAATCACTCGGGCGCGATTCCCGAGGCAACAAAAGACGCGTATTTTAAATTTTAGAAAACGATACGAAAAAACAATACAATAGTGTGTTTATGAATTATACTTGCACGGGGATGTTTGAGTCGTTGACCTACCGTAGCCTGGAGTGAAACGGCACAACTAACGGTGTGATGAGTTTGGACCACGACAATCGGCAAGCAAAATCCTGAACCGTCGACTTCCCCCTCCTAGGATAGCAAAAAAGCCTCGCGATGTTGAAAGGCCTCCTCCACAACGAGACTGTGCATTTTTTGGTGGTGGTTGTATGTTGATGTGTGTTGTTCGTGGGTGTTTCTAATGATCGTTTGTTGTATGTGGGGTAAAGGTATCCATCGGTAGTTCATTCAAGTTGTTGCACCAACAGCCGGCTGCCAATGATATTCGATTCACGTGGTGATACTTTTTGCACTGTTAGAGGAACGCTTAACCAGCTAGCGAAAATCGTAAAGTCCGACCTAACCCGATGTGCTCCGCCGCACTACTCTTTCAATCGAGCTGCTGCTTTTGCGTTTGCTTTTTTTCTGTTGTTAGTTGCATATGTTGCTTTTCCGATTCGATTCAAAATTTAAACATTTTTCCGTTTCATAACACGATCCAATATTCAATTTGGTTGTCAATTGAATAGTTACATTTAAAATAGTATAGGTTTTTATACTTTTCTATATTCTATAGGTTTTGCTTTTTTTGTTTCCGCTGTAAGTGACTTCCTTCCAAGAGACGTCCAAAAACACACCGAAGAATTACCACCCCAGGATGTTTTTGTTATTGTTGTTCGATCAGGGGGTGTTTCTCCGGTGATGTTGTGGTTGTTGTTATCAGTAACCATTTTGCGTGGAGTTTTCTCTGCCTTGCGATGATGCCGATGCGAGTAGTTTATGCGGAACTTTCGGTTGTAGTATTTTGGACAGCGTTGTTGTTGCCGCCACCAGCTCCTACATCACTTCGTGGCCTCTGGCCACCTCGTCCTCCGCGTCGTGGAAAACGAGCACGACCGCCACCGCGTCCCGGTGGCATACGGCGTGGTTGTTCTGGTCCATTCTGATGGTAATCATTTTGATATTCACCACGGTATCCACCTCGTCGTGGAGGTCCACCTGGTCCGCCCATGCCTCGTCCACCACCACCACTGTGATAATCGCGGCGGAAGAAACGTCTCGGGCCACCACGTCCACCTTGGCCTCGACCATTTTGACCATCCATCATTTGATTTTGGTCCATGTGGCCATTATCACTCATTGGTGGTCCTTCACGGCGGGGTCCTCGCGGTGGTGGACGATAAGAATAGGAATATCCTCCACGCCCACGTGGACGGAAGCTGCCAGCACCACGGCGCGGTTGAAGTGGTTGGTGCTTCAACTGCTGTGGCTGCTGTTGTTGCTGCTGTGGCTGATCACCATTTTGAACGTCAAGATCAAGATCGTCCATCGCTTCACCGTCCTTGGAGTGTGGTCGGCGTGAGCCATTACCACCACCACGCTTTTGCCACCACTGTCGGTAACCACGACGTTTTTCAGCGGCATATGGGCTGCCCTTTACCGGTTCACCCTGGGGACCAGTTACATTGGCAGCCTCATTACCCTTTTCTCCGATGACAACGTCGAATTCGACCACCTCACCATCACCGACTGAACGGACGGCCTTTTTCGGGTTGTTGCGAGCAATGGCTGACTGGTGCACGAACACATCTTCCTGTGTATCGCCACGATTGATGAAACCATATCCGCTCTTAACATTGAACCATTTGACCACACCGGTAACCTTAGTGGCAATAATTTCCTTTTGCTGTTGTGGGACCACCGGTTTGTTATTCACCGGAGGCTGTTGTTCCGGTTGCTGCTGCTGCTGCTGCGGTGGCGGCGGCGGCTGCTGTTGCTGGGTTTGCTGTTGAGGCGGCTGCTGTTGTTGCTGCTGTTGCTGCGGTTGTTGGGGCTGCTGTTCTGGCGCACTTACTGCCTGCTGGTCAGCCATGTTGTTATAGCTCTTCCTGCTAGTTCGGAGTACAGACGGCACTACACTTTTTCGAATTGGAAAAACTCAGATGTTGGTGTATCACTTGATGATGACTATTTGATGTTGCGTTCCGGTTGTTATGATGTAAAAATTAACGTAATAGTCATGCTATTTTGGATCGTATTTTCGGTGAATTTACGGATTTTAATTTCACATTTGTAAGCACAGTCACATTATTACTTTTTCACCAAGGCAGCTGCTGGTACCGCATGTTGGAACACACGACTTTGATAGAACAGAGCAAAGAATTTTCCTTACTACCCTGTGTTCGCCGGACAGTCTGTCTCACTTTCACTGCCACATTCCAATGCACTGCGGGAATGAAATACAACCATCAACGTACGTCGCTAGGTAGAGACCGGCTACGATTAGAACTTCATACCGTCATGCGTGCTGGGTAGAGATGTCATCTTCGAACTGACAACAGGCAGATGAGCGACATGCGATGTTTAATATCGTTTTGATCGTTTCAGTGGCATATATGCATTTAGTACATGTTTTGAATTGACCGTTGGAAAAGTCTTGTAGGGTAGAGCGCTACTTCGTCGTAATCGCCTATTTCCGTTCTATTGATCAGAAAAGATCAATAATAGGTTTGTTTCGATGCGTTAGTTCATTAGCTACAACATAAATCCTGTTAGAGCGCATTGTATGAATATTTACGCTCATTGTTCTCAAAACAAAAGAAGCGCTTCTGGCGAATCCCCTTTTTCTACGTTTATCCGTAGGACGAAGAAAATCTAATGGCGTTTCAAAGCGTTAGGACGGAATTGAAACTCATAGAACGAATTTTAGAATCAAGAAACAGTATTAGATTTTAAACAATATCTCAACAATTGGTGACTCTTAATCAAATCCAACGGTACGTATGGAAAGGTGCATAAATTTAGAAGTCATCTCTGACAGAAATATTCCATTTTTTTGTTCAAACTCGTTCAGAAAAGAATGGTAAAGCGCAGGTTGTGCTTAGTAGGACGGAAATTAGATCAAAAACCCTATTAAAAATAATATTTTAATTCGATAAGTAGGGTTAACACACTTACAGCGAAGGTAAGTTACACTCAAAAAATTTATCACATATCTAATGGATGAAAACCATGTGATTTTCACATAGCTTTCATGTGATCACATAGCTTAAAATCACACCAAAAAATCACATGAATATTATGAGGCCGATGAAATTCATATGAAAAATCATATAAAATTAACGTGATCACATAAATGTTAGGTGAAATTCAAATGAATTCCATTAATTTTGTTTATGGATGAAAATCATTTGCGTTTCCAATGGAAGCTACATGAAAACTATTTTCGGTGTATTGCAATGTGTTGCTATTGATGAATCTACGCGAAACTGCACCAGGGCATGCGACACCTAGGTTTGAAATCCAAAACCACAAAAGTGATGATGTACTAAAAAATATTCCATACGATTTGACAGCTAGCAAAACGTCATTATCATTTTCACATCATTTCTATCTGCTGACCAACCGTAACTTAGATTCATCAATAGTGGCTTATGGAGACTCCATAAGCCATAAAAAGAACATATTGCACTAATATACCTCCACTATAGGGTGCGTTTACTCTAACCACAAACGAAGTGACAGACGACTAACTGGCGAAGAAATCAATTAAAATAATGTGGTTCGCTGTAATAGAATTTTCTTAGAAGCCTGTGCCATCAGCCACTAGATGGGCTAGTATTTTTGTTTTGATTTGAACATAGTTGATTTTGTGTGAAATATGATCTTTGACAGTGTGCAAAGAGTGTATCATTTCAGGCATAACATTTGATAACGGCACAAAAGTATTTGTAAACAAACTTTCTAAGGCCCTTTACACGCCAACAAAAGTACGTCCACGCAAACCAACATCATCGGATAGGAGCAACTATCACCTTTCCGAAAGAGGTATTAGTTTGCGTGGGCGTACTAAGGTAACTCTAAGACTACACGGTAAGAAAAAAGTACCCAACGGCCAGTTCACTTTTACTTACTTTTGACTAGTTTGTCTCCTTTTCTCCTTCTAATGTTGTCAAAAAAGGAGGAGCAAAACCACCCAACAAGGGTAGTAAAGTGTGGGAACCCAACGTTGAGTATAATCGTATTTACCTACTGTTGGGTACAACTAACTTACTTTTGGTTAAATAGCCAGTAGAAAATTCCATACGAGCTGCACACAAGTAAATGAAAATTACATTGACCCACATTACCTACTTTTTGGGTTCCTGCACTATAGTGCCGAGATGAGTGAAAAGAACTTAATTTTGGGTACTTTTTTCTAACCGTGTAGTAGGTCCCGAAGAAACGTGCTCGACTTTTTGGCTCAGCTCTGGTACTCTCTTCGGTCCCAAGCTAATCGATTCACCCCTCGAAACATAGGAAAATTCACTAGCCCCCCTAATAAACAAATACCATAAATCAAGAGCAAATTTTCATTATGTCGTAAGTAACATTCACACCAATCCGAGAAAAATAAGGTTTTGTTTTGATGACCGAAAAGTTATTCCTATTTCCAAGTAAACACATATAATCTCATAGTGATAGCAATGTTTAACATATTTAGCAGGGTTTTAATCATACAAATGCAAATCGCAGCTTTCATGCTAAAAAATACTAGTTTTTGAGTCAAAAGTTATTATACGTCGTTTGGTGGCCCCTATTGTTACTTAAGTCAAAGTGTATTTACCAGGATCAGGGCTCTACAATTTCGAAGCTCTAAAATGAACTCGTGTTTTATTTCTCTCATACATACGTGTTCGACGCTTCATTTCTATAACGCCTAGCTAGACTATCAGCAAGAAACGAAAATAAAAAAGAAGGACGCTTAGAAGGAAAGGCTGGCTGTGGAACTTCTCGTCGTTGCTTTGCTCATCGCTTTCAATGTAACTAACGTCGATTTTCTAGTTAAACGAACTTCATTATGACTTTCAATCCCCTTTCACGAACACTCTATCACCGCTCTTTCAATTTGTTTAAAATGCGTTATGTCCCGTTTTCGATCATTTTTTTTCGATAAATATATGGATGGAAGATAAATTAGAAATATGACGTGTAATCTTCAAGTGTTTTGACGTGAGAAATGCTTTAAATGTGTTATTTCATTTTCCGTCATATACGTCATGAAACCTCTGTTGATGTGTTTCATGAAAGAGAAAACTATCAAAGTCGAGCGCTCTTTCGCTCATCCGTTTCGACGAAGCTTGAAAGGAAGACCAATGGAGCGACGGGAGAAAGAGAGACAAGCGATTGAACATTTGTTTGTGCACGCCGACTGAGGTTCTAGAATGCTGCGAAGCTGTTCGACTTTAACAGAAAAAGAAAGCCAGCAGTCTCTTCGTCGCATCGATTTGGTCGATTGAAGCTGATATTGTGACGCCCTGACCAGGATATTCGGGAGAATTGTCAATTACGTCTCCTTACGTGCAGCCCATTCATCATTTTAGCACCACCGAAATCATCTTAGCAACAAACAGTTCGATTTATTCACTTTAATAATGCTAAAGCGAAACGACGAACGTACACTTTTCACGGGTTTCTCAGCGCTGTTACTTAAGTCAAACGGCATCTCCATAGAAATTGGGTGACTTAAGTAACATCGAAAACTATTTTGATCGGAAGGTGATTACGTCGAAAAGCAATTTGACTTGTAAATAAATTTAAAAATGGGATTTGATCCTATATTCGGACAGTATATAGTGTAACAGCAGGAGAATCGATTGACACTGATAGCTCGACTTTGTTTACTTTTGTTACATTCGACGTAATGAAAATTTGCTCTTGAAATGAACTGTATCCCGGATGGGTAAACTATCCCACAAATGGTTTGAATGATACCCCGAACACGTCGTTAAGCTCTCTTTTATGTTTATTTTTATTAGGACCCTTATTTTATCTGTCAAACTTTCATAGAGCTTTTTGACGTTTAATCGGCGCACACTACTGCACCATTTAAATCGAACGAGTGCGAGCAAGAGGGAAACAGATTAGTGCGAAAACAAACCGTCCATTCATTCATTTGTGCTAGATAGAGAAAGACGATTAAACGTCAAAAAGGTCTATAGCGAATCAAAACAAACATTGTGTAGTAGTAGAATTTCGACTAGAATAGGGTACGTTAATCGTTTGCTTGGGACCAATAGGCTAGTCAAGTAGTGAGCCAATTTATAATCGTTAGTTTCGTATTGATTGTTGGAATTACACTGTTGAATGTGGAAGGTGGTGTTAGTATTTCACCTAAGAGTTTATCTTTTTACACGAAACAGCTGTTGCCTTTGGCGTCACGTCTGCTGTTCGCAGTATGGAATGTTGTGCCACAAACGAAGTGACAGACGACTAACGGGCGCAGAAATCAATTAAAATAATGTGGTTCGCTGTAATAGAATTTTCTTAGAGCTTGTGCCATTTTTTTTTTTTTTTTTTTTTTTTTATTATAGTCACTTTAACACTCTTGGGTCACTTGTCCGGGGGTGAGATTTGAACTCGTGACTTTGGCGTGAGAGGTTTGGATGTTAACCACTACGCCGGGGTCGCCCCCGCTTGTGCCATCATCCACCAGATGGGACAATATTTTTGTTTTGGTTTTGCACAAAGTTGATTTTGTGTACAATGATTCTTTGACAGTGTGCAAAGAGTGTATCATATTGTAATTTTTTTTATGCATTTCAGTTTTGAGTAGAGTGAAAGAGATAGAACCAAAACCTTCTAGTACATTTGGTGAAAATGCTAGTTCAATCCAGTAGTGTGTTGCCATCGCCATGTGGTACAATCCAGTAGTAGTGGTTTTGCCGTCTATCACTCCGTTTGTGGTAATATCATAGAGGTAACTCTAAGACCAGAAGGTCCCGAAGAAACGTGCTCAACTTTATGGCTCAGCGCTGGTACTCTCTTCGGTCCCAAGCTAATCGATGCACCCCTCGAAACATAGGAAAAACAGCGAACCCCTCATTTTATCTGTCAAACTTCCATAGCGAATCAAAACAAACATAGTGTAGTACTAGAATTTCGACTAGAATGGGGTACGTTAATCGTTTGCTTGGGACCAATAGGCTATTCAAGTAGTGAGCCAATTTAAAATCGTTAGTTTCGTTAGTTCGTAAATTGCGATAGTTGAATGTAATTAAATGCAAACAATTCGAAGATTTGTAATTAAACTTGTTACCCGAAATGGCATTCGGCCAAATTTTCCATAGTAAATTTCCGCACTTCCCTAACTCGAAACCTGGCTACGCCCTTGACAGGGTTATTTATCGCTGTATTGGAAACCACATATTCAATTTTGACGGCATTCTGACAATTTCAAATAAAGAAACAATAGCAGTCAAATTTAATATGAAAAAAAATCATAGTAATTTGCCAAAAACTCTGTAAAAACTCGTTTCAAACCACGTGACCTCTAAACCTTCATCAATCCGTGCTATTTTTGTACAGCCTCTAATACAGGTCATGTGTTAGTTAGTCTATGAATTAAACTGATTGCAAATACTTGTTTCTTTTTTTTCATAATGAAACACACCAGAATTTAGCAGACTCGAAACAGACCAACTGTTGCAATACTTTCGAGAATGTCCTATTAGGAAAGGGGTGACATTTTCGCAGTTTGCCAAAGGCATAGCAATTGGGTTCTTTAAGGGTATTGAGGTAAATGCATATTCGTAATCTGCATTAAAAATGGAACCCAGCTCCAAAATTTCATCAATTTTGGTACACTGGAACTATTTTAAATAAGAACGATTACATTCACGCAGAGAAATGTTTTTTTAAATTCAAATAGATATATTTTTGGCTCAGGGCCTAATATATTTTTGGTATTGATTCAAATATATTATTCGGTTAATTCAAAGAAAAATATTTTTGAATCAACAAAACGGTTGTAGAGTCAATAATCTGTTTGTTGATTCTAAAAACCGATTTGTTGATTCAAAAATATGTTTTGTTGAAGTAGTGATACAATATGTTTGAATCAATAACAAAATACATTAGGCCCTGAAACAAAAATTCAATTTTTCTGCGTGTTGGCAAAAAATCACTTTTTTAGCGCCCCTCGGTGTCACTTTGTATGGGAGCGAGCTGTCAGTTTGTCAGGTTAGTGTCAAATAGTGAAGTTATTATTTTGCTTTAAATCTTGATTTAAAAATCGAGATGAAAGTGTGTGGATTCGAAAAAATATCGCTGTGCTCAGAAAACGAAGCTCTTTCATAAAAACCGATATATTTTTCAAAATTAAGGAACCCATTTGCATCTATAGATCTCAATGAGCTTTTTTCAGCACATAATTCGACAACCCGTTTTACACAGTACACTGACTGTAATACAGCTTTTATTAAATAAATATACTTATTTGTGGCGCTGAATTGCTGAAACCCTCACTACGACGCTGCCCACACCCCCCAGTTCTGATTTATGCTTTGTAGGCAGGTTTTATTATCAATGGAATATGGATATGTTTTTGGCATATTTGATGAACCAGAATAGTTATTATTTTGATCGATTTTCATGCATTTTATTTACTGCTTTTCACATGTTATTTTTTACTCTATTCACGAATAACGTCCGTGAATTTTAGTTTTTTTTGTTTTGTTTTGAACCGGCTCGTTTTATCTTCATTTCCTTGAATAGAGGATTTTAGGTGATTGTAATTTATAATTAGGATAAATTCATAAATTAAACATAACATATTACTAGTAAATATTATCACACAAATTTTACAGAACTTTTCTCTGTCTATGTTTTTTTCTTCCTCCACATTTTGTTCTTTTCGATTTTCCCATCCACATAACATACCTGTAATCTGTTATTTCTCATCTCTCTCTTACATTTACTTACAATAAACGCATTACAAAATCAAGAAACCCAACCCGAAACGTGCATTGTGGTCTCTCGAAGTACCAACGCGCTGCGAGCCAAAAATTACTTTTTGGGATCCGAAGAAGACATCCGTAATTGGATTTACAAAAAGAACTAAATTTCACTCATCTGTTTTCGCGTAATCACAGTTCGATAAGAAGGTGAAAAAAAAATAGATTTCGGATTTTGTCCGGCGAAATAACGAGTCTTTTCCGAACGTTACTGGTTGGTACGTGTATATACAAAAACAGCGCACTCTCGTTCTGGTGAGCTACCTACAGGAAAATTTTCCCCAAATCCAAAGCACTCAATGGTAGGGAAAAAGTAAGGGGCATTGATTTTAAATGAAAATTCGGTGGTAATTTGACGAAATGCTCAGCAGAGCGCTGCTCAAAAGATAGGGAAATTTCGACAAACGCTCAACTTCCTTGTTTTCTGCACGTATAAGATTTCGGTTCGTCATAGGTTCATTTAGTTATCTAAAGCAAACAATGTACAGTTTGTCACGTCACTTTCTTCTAGGGAAACATCCATTTATACAGATTTGTATAACTTAATCTGAATAGTTTGTTTGTTTTTTTTTCTGTTTTCGTGGGATCGAAGAATCGAAGGTTAATATTTGGTAAATAATAGACATGGCTTTTCTTCACTAGACAAAAGTTTTGAAACAGATCAAACAATTTAAATTTTACTAACTTTCTTTACTTAACTGACAAATTGATACACTCAAAAAAACAAAAATTAAGACTTCTTAAACAAGATAATACTGTAACACTTCTATGTCCACGTAGATACCGCTGGATCCCACGAAATTTTGCAGCATCCGTGTTTCTGTTTGCATACTCAGCTTAAACAAATTTGAAATGCTACGATTTCCTTTTGCATAGAAAAAGGACGCTTGTTGAGTGGTTCACAACATCAGTTCGTTGTGTGAATGGAGGAGGGCAACACTGGAGAACTGCCGCAGACGCCTGTCGATTGGGAAATGCCTGCTGCTGACCCTGCGTTTCCATTAGATTGTAGCTTAGTAGGTGTCGGATATTGATGCACGATGCAAAACTTGTAGTCTCCAGTGCTGTTTAGTACCTGATAAGTAATGCATTTAACTAAAAACAGATTGTTTTGGATTCTTGAGAGGCAATATATTCCATTTTCTGCCCTCATAGGAAAGCAAATGAAAATACCCTAATTGATATTCACTGCGTTGCTGATGCTGCCCTGGAAACGATTCATGCTTATTTATAAAGTAATGGGACGAAATCCAATCAATACTACGATTCAAAACGATCGAAAAATATGTTCTTCTTTTCTTTGCTACCATTTGCGTGTGTGTGAGTTTGTTTGTTTTTTTTTTATACGTGATAATCGATTTGGTAAGGTTTCCTTTTCTCTTATCCTATTTTACTGTGGTTTGTTTTAGTTTGTTTTGCTCTTGGTATTCACATTTTTTTTTAGGTTCTGCATATAGTAAAGTTAATAAAATATATTTTGTTACCCACGTTTGATAGTTTCCTTTTCTGCTGCTGAATTATCCTAGCTGTTGTTTTCTTTTGTATTTGTTTTTGCTGTTCCATACACGAATGTAATATAAATGTAGAATTTGTTTTATATTATCCATATTATGTTTCACATACGCGTTGTTCACAAACCATTAATTTTTGGTAAGCGTTCCCATTTTGTTATCGATTCATTTTAGTGTTGTGTAATTTTGATCATCACTTTTGTGTCTGTATATTGATGTTTGTCGCAATAATTTGTCATACTTGTTTTCTGTATAATGTAGTTTCAATAATTACAAATTATCCATACTTTGTGGCTTACCTAAAATTTGTAAGTTGTTGTTGTTCTTAAAATTTGATTTAAATCTTCACATTGCCTTGAAAATGTGAGCTTCCTCCCGCTCTTTCGCACTTGGCAGGGAGCTTATATAAAACCAAACCGTTTGAAACTCGTGTACTTTACCGTTTTACCGGGTCGTCCTAGATGTTTTGCGTTATCTCTCGCTGAATGTTGTAAATAGATGATTTTGCTTCACTTAAACCGATAAAGTCACGCTTGCTGCAGCATTAATGTATGTTTGTATTTTTTGTTAAGAGTTTTTTTAAGAGTCCTTTGTTAGCTCCTTCTGGTAGGCGATAGGACTTTGTATTGCTTTTAGAAAATCATTCTGCGTCTGCAGAATGTTACGAATTGTGTTGAGCCACTCGTTGTGCAGCTCGATCGTTGGCGCGGTGCAGATAAAGCTAAGACTGGAGCGCTGCGGATCGATTGAGCAAAGCGAGAACCGATTTCCATTGGTTTGGTCGGATAAGTCTTGCAGGGTCATCTTGTTCACCTGAAATGTAGGAAAAAAGAGCAAACGTTTAGATACAGTTAACTCAATGCTATTTTATTATGGGCCATGCATGACGTAGCACTTTTAGCAGGTAGGACGGACTGTGACCGGTCATGTATTATGTGTACGACGAAAGCTACGACGGGAAGGGTTGAGGTTAGAAGCTGTCATTTATCCACAATACCACTACTCTGAACGCCCTTGTCCAGAACGCTTATGCAATTACCCCGTAAAACAAGTTTATTTTACAATAAATGCTATGTGCCAAAGCAAATATGTCTAGCTAATGTAAAAAATTTGCTATTTTGATGATGATGTGGAACTACCCCTCATGGTAGCAAGACAACTGTCGCTAGACTCGCTGTTCGACTTGATCGAGTATAATAACCTTTAATTATACTCACCCTGCCAATGTATGAAGGGCCAAAAACGGTTTAGGTGAATCTGTGGGCAACATCGCCCTCGTGCATCCACGGGATAAATGAGAATCTCCTTCCAACAACAGGATTATACAACCGGTCAAAAAACAGGCCATCCAACAGGAGGATGCGCCAATGAGTGGGGAGAAGAGACCGCAGTCTATTCAGGAAAAGTTAAAGGCAAGGAGTTGGCATTTCCACTCTCCCCATCCATTTTGCTTCAATCGGGTGTCCCCCATCCCGTTTGGCATTATGATTAATGTTGGCATAATGATTAATGTTGATGCACTTAGTCACTAGATCATAATCCGTTAGATTGATGGGAACATTAAGCCGAATGTCGAAATAGTGAAAGAGTACACTTGAAAAACTGTTTTGGGAAATCTCAGGCTTGCAAAACGTAGTTTTCTACGTCTTGACAGGTACCTATCTCAAATCATGTTATGGATGAAAAGTGCCAATAAATCAAATTTACCCAGTTTCAAATTATGGCGATGAGGTTTGTGGTTTATTTTGGCCAAATTTCCCCCATACTGCATGAAAATGAAATAACTGTAATATTCCACGCAATGTTGGAAAAGTTCGCGATATTCAACGAAGTTCTCCAAGGGAATAGTTCGCGAGTCATAGTGATTTTTTGCGAACTTTTCCATCACTGATTCCACGCCATACTTAAATTCAAGCTGGTCCTGTCTAATATGTCTGAACCTCAGAAAAAGTCCATTTAGTTATCTATTCCACCTGCACATGTGCATGGATTTGAAATAACTGTATCAAAAACGAATGTGACGAATGACCAATTAAAAAAAAAACTTTTTCTACAAATTTTTATTCGAATATAATTCCAGAAATGAATCATTTTTTATGTTGCAAAATTGAGCGTACACTTTCAATATGTCCTAATAAATTGTTTTATAAACACAATCATTGCAACTTAACGTGGATTTTTGTAACAGTGCATATGTATGTCAACAACTATCAGCTGCTTTGGCAATGATCGTAATCATTTTCTGCTGAAAGTTTGTTGTGTTTGGATCGAAATGGCGACCACCAGGAAAGAAACCGATATTGCTACGCGTACCCAAGTGATAGGTATGTGCCTTCGTGGGAAATCGTTGCGGGAAATAGTGGCTGCCATTGGAAGAACACATTCTACAGTGCAGAAAATTGTGAACAAGTGTAAATTCGAAGGAACTTTGAAAAACCGCGCAGGCAAACGGATCTTGACCGGGGAATCGTGCGAACAATTCGAAAAGAACCTAGAACAAGTATTCCAAAATTGGCCAAAGAGGTTGCTGACAATATTGAAAGACCCGTCAGTGCCCATACCATCCGGCGTGTGGCACACAGACACAATCTGAGGGGACGGGTTGCTCGGAAGAAGCCTCTCCTCTCAAAAGCGAATATTAGGAAGCGCCTGGAATTTGCGAAGGAACATGTTAACAAGCCAATGGAGTTCTGGAACAAGGTGATGTTCACCGACGACCTATTTGGATCCGATGGAAGACAGATGGTATGGAGAGAACCGAATTCTTCGCTGGAGGCCAAGCATTTGAGGCCTACTGTCAAACACGGAGGAGGCAGTGTCATGCTGTGAGGTTCAATGGCGGCCAGTGGAGTGGGTACTATGGAGTTTATCAACACCACGATGGACAAAATAGGCTACTTGAACATCGTGAAACGTAACCTGTAACTTTCCGTGCTAACTAAACCTACCTCGCGATTATTACTTCCAGCAGGACAATGATCCGAAGCACACCTCGCACATAGTACGAGAGTGGTTGTTTTACAATGTTCCTAAACAATGCAAAACCCCTCCACAGTCGCCGGATTTGAACCCCATTGAGCATTTGTGGTGGGAGGTAAAGCACCGATTGAATAACACCAGCCAAACAAAATCAAAAAAACAAAAAGGAGCTCAAACTGGCGATAAGGCTTGCACTCGAAAAAAAAATGCATCCATACCTCTCACGCCAAAGTCACGAGTTCAAATCTCACCCCCGGACAAGTCACGAATGACCCAAGAGTGTTGAAGTGACAATAATAAAAAAAAAAAAACCCATTTTTATCCGCGTGTAACTTTTTTATCCGTGGGTAAAAATTGATGAAAATCTGGGTACAACTGTGTCTCGGGTGGTAAAATCGTTTAAGGAGTCCCAGACGACCGGCGGGCTGGAAGTGGAAGAAAATCGAAGACAACTGACCCTGTGAAGGCCCGGTAATGAGGGATCTTAAGGGAAAGGTGCGGGCTTTCAGCGATGGAAAGGAAATTGAATAAAGTAATTATGCCGAAACATAATCCATATGTATTAGTTCATTCCCTGAAAGGTTCAAGAAAATCCAACTTAAAATATTTTTTTGGTGAATTTTGCCCATAGCGAAATCCAAACTGCTTATCTGCAAAAATGGAGTTTGTATTGATGTGGAGCATCATTCTATTCAAAATTATTTTTTTGCAAAAAGTTTACTTATTGAAGAAAGCAAACTTAGACTTGAAGTGAACTAAATTAAAAATCATTGCAAATCTCGATGCGTGAATCGCCAGGACGGTATTTCATTTTCATTTTTATTACTTTGACAGACTCAACTCCAAGTAATTTAGTCAATTCACCTTTGATCTGATCCATGGATTCACCACTGGGAAGACCTTTCAAGACAACCTTGAACATACGTTTAGTTTTGGTGTCAGAAGTAAACAAAATGTGTGTTGCTTTTCAGTAAAGTACTTGAGAAGACATTTGAATCCATCCAAGGTTCCAGCCAATACACGGCATTCACCCCGACGGCCAATCTGAAGGGAAAACTTAAACCAAGTTCAAACGTGGTTACAACAATAGGGGGAACCTTTTCCTGTTTGGCATTAAGCCGGGAATGTTTAATGGAATTTTGCCTGGATGATGGATCATTCTCATCATCCTTAAGCATCCAAATCGACATCAAAGCAGATTACTATAAGAATCCAAAGGATATCCAAGCAGGATTACCGCGGGTAGGGTCCAAAAAAGGATCGAAGAGGAATAGTTTTTTGAAGAGAAATATTATGAGAGAAATGAGTTTTCGACAGCGTTTTTCTCGGCTTACAGTTCAGCCAGATGGGACTGACGTATACTTTTATGGACAACCACGTCACAGTAGAATTTATCTGTTATGTTTTGGAGAAAACATACCTGTATGTGCGCCTTGTAGATGTAGCTCGGGCTCGTGAACTGCGTCTTCTTGCCGACGATCTCCGCAAAGATGATATTCTGCTCGAACAGGAACACGTGCAGTTCTTTCGGCTTCTGAGTGTTGTACGAGTTCTTATCACTACTACTGGCACCTTCGACACAGTAAAGCGGACCGTGCAGTAGTAGCTTACCCTGTGCCGTTATCTTACCCTATTGGATATGGGAAAACAAATGACAAATTGTTTACGATGAGAAGAACGGTCCACTTGATGCCTCACATACCTCAAATTTCTGCAGCCGACCGACATCCATCATGTCGTTGGCTGCCTTAGGAACTACTCGCATTATATGCATTGCGTCTTTCAATCCTGGAATTTCCTCGGTGAGACCGGCCCTCTGAGTATGCTTCAGGATATCTTTAAACAGTAACTCGTACTTCATTATTCTTTGGACAGGTTTAATGAGCATATCTCCTAACTGAAAGTAGTCCGCAATGGTTAATCGTTATTAATTAAAACAATCGATGATTAGGGAATAATCCGATACTTACACATAATTTATATTTTAATTTTAAGCGTAATTCATCGAAGTAACTCATATGCTCCTGGACAATGTGTTCCGACACCGGCTTGTTCTGACAATACACGACATACATGTGAAGCTTTCGCTCGCTTCGCTTTATTAATGGTCCGAGCTCGTGTGGGTTCAGCTGACACCTTTGTAGCGCTTTCAAGAAGGTGCTGTTCGATAGAAACAGAAGCAAACAATAGGGGAAAATTAAATTAACTATAGCAAACATGAACCCGAAAAAGATTTCGCCATTCTATGAATGTTAAAGTTCTTGTTTTAACTTACTCTCGATGCCACTCGTAGATTGCTTCCATATTGCCAAACACCATCCGCTCTTTGCCACCCTTTAGGTCATCTGGGATCGGCACAGTGCTGTTTGGATTTCGAATCTCGGCAATGTAGCTGAAGAAATTGGAGACGGGTAAAAGAAGGAAAAACAATTATGAGTGGGAAAAAACAACACTGTTTTCAAATAGCCCCTTTTTTCAACGAGAGTGTCATATGTAGAGATGGATAAACCGAAAAGGAATCATTGCCAATTCAGAGCAAGCGTTCATGCATCTAAGTATGTACCTATATGTTGTGGAAGTGGGAAGACTAGAAGAGAGTTTGTTGCTGTGTTGCTTTCGGGCAGCAACATTTCCCGACGACAAATTGCTTGGTGATTGCGTGACATTGTATGTTAATGAAGCTGTTCTAAGTGGTGTCACAACTTGTTGCAAACTGGGAAGAGCAATAAAACATGGCAAAGGTAACTAGAGCGTGAGGCCCGTGAGGCATGTAGGTAGCTATGGTTATGGTGATGTTGGGAGGTGGGATACAACGTGTAGGTGAATAGCGAACTAGGTGCTACCCAGCGATGTTAGGAACAAGAGGTTGAGCAAATGAAATAACCGAGCAACCATCACCCTAGACAGGACCAGTTTTCATACATATTATAGGTAGTTTTCTGTTCCCTTTTGAGCGATTTCTACCAAGCTGAATCACTGCACAACCCAAGCGTGTTAACTTTGCCATTATACCAACAGCACTATTATAGTATAGTCATCGAAAATTTTCGTGAAGAAAAATGGACACGTTTCGACGTCGAAGTAACAAAGTCGCTATATTCACTTACCCATTGACGATCTGCGACAGGTCATTCACGTACGCATCCTCAGTGGTGACGAGTTCCTTAAGAGCGAACATTCGCTTCCGAAGAATATCCTCGATACCTTGCTCGTCGGTCAGGTTCTCGTCAATGTTCTCGCTTTCGAAATACTGTGGCGAAATGGGTGGTTTGATAAGGGCCAATCCGCTGCCACCCACAGAGCTAGCTGCACTACTGCTTCCTCCTCCGTTACTCACCGATGGCACCCCAATGGCGGAATCGTCCAGTCCGGAACCGACGACTCCCATACTACTACTGCTACCTCCCTCTGCAATACTGTTGCTTGTGATGGCTGTGTCATTTTCCAGATATTTGAAACTTTGCATCTTTTCTTTGACTATTCGTTCAATTTCCGCTACATCAGCTGTTTGGTTCACCGCCGCTGGGGGTTCCTCCAGCGACTTGAGTGATAAAGCTTTCGTTATCTTAGCACTAGTACAGGTTTGGTCCTCCGTCGAGGACAAGGTGGACGAGGGGGTACCGGACAAGGCCGTGGTTGCATCTTGGATCGGTTTCATGGGCGGTGGCAGCTCGATGGTTGGTTCCTCTTCGGCTTCCAACTCGATCTGCGCGGCGGTCGTGGATGGTTCCACTTCCTCCAGTGGTTTGTCCTAGGGTTAGATTTGGAATGATAAGCGTGAGTAACGTGCAATACTTGTTGGTGCTCCATACTAACCTTTGCTTTTTTATCTGATCCCTTTTTACTGATGAGTGTTTTCTCCACAGGAGGTAATTTGTCCGACTTGCCGTGCGATAGTTTACGGAACTGAGTCGGAAGCCATTTTTTCCTGCAATACAAGAAGAAAAGAACATTGTGAGAATGAGTATCACGCACCGTAGATATAGAATTTGGAATAATTAATTGGGCTACAGTAGAAGAAACTTTACCAGCAGAAATTCATTGCTCAGTCGAAGTGCAAGCATAATAATTGAACTTTGATCATATTTTGACACAGTAAATTGCAAAGCTCGAGTAAATTCTGAATGCTTTTATTGTCTTTTCCTAACTTCTGAGAAATTGTATATTTCTTTAAGTATTAGCCATTTTATTATATTTCTATTCAATAACCCTGTCGCTCGAATCGAGGAAAAGTTTTGTTTGTAGTTTATTGACTTTTCGTCTTATTTTTTATTCGTTTGTTTGAATTTCTTTTTCATTTTAATGTTCGTACAAATACAATCTGAAGTCGCAGACTTCGGGGTATCACCCATGGTCTTCTGCTCAATAAGCAAAAGCGGTCACCACTAGGTCAGAGAGCCCTTTTTTTCATTAAACATGTTTGGTCACTATACAACAGTTGTAGGAAATATTCTTACAAAAAACTTTGTCCAAGACTTAGCGTTTACTTTTGAATATGTTTTACGTTTTACGCGGACATTCCCTAAAACAACCTCTTCCGAAGGAAGGCGTGATCATAGATGTTATGCCTCAGAACATCTCGACGGCGCCGACTGGGATTGAACCCAGGCCTGCTGGAGTGAGAGGTTATCACGCTTACCTCTACACCACCGGCGCCGCTGATGTTCTAAATAGTTATAGATAATAATAAAATGCATAAAGCTTTCCTGAATACAGCACCCTTTTTTATTTTAAATAAAAAAGTTGTCGAAGTTTGTGGATTTTGTTTTGCTTTATTTTACATACTTGTAACTCAACACGGTGCAGATTATCTCGAATAAATTTGGAACCACAAGATATTTGCTTAAAAATTACGGTAAAACCATTAAACTGTAAGCGACTGTAAGGCATCTTTGGTGTAAATACTTTTTCTTATTTTTAGTGAAAAATACTCGTCATGTCGTGTAAACTTTAAAATTCTCTGCTTTCTACTACTTTTTCGATATAAAGTAACGTCCCAAACAACTGTAACAAATTGGAACGCATTTGGTCAAGATCTGAATTTGCCAGAATCTTTTAAAGTTAGTATGGGAAAATGTGCAATGTGTAGTTTCGCCCAAGTAACCCCTACGTATACCTACGTGCGTCTATGGGATCATCGGGCTTGCGCTTGGGATGCTTCTCAAAGTACTGTTCGCAAGAAAACGTAAAATGTCTTCAAAAATAAACAAAATATTGACTAGGTTTCTTCGACAAAGTTTCTTGCAAGAGTATTTCATGCAACTTTTGTTATGGAAAAACTGACCAAATGAATTTTCTATCTCACTTATAGGGGAACTACTCAACAAGATGCAAATTTTAAAGCAGCGAACTGGCATACAGATAAAATTGTCTCAAGAATAGATACCGACGGACAATAAGCAAAGAAAACAAATGTGTAATGTTTCTAAATAAATTGGGCAATAACCCACAATATTTCGCAACGTCTTAAATTCTAAAGTTCTGTTAATTCCAGGATATTATGTGAATTGCCTTATATCCTTGGGACCGCCAGATACCACGTGGACAAAAGTCCTTAATCAGAACCACGGATGCCAAATTTGAAGGCATGTCTACCTCTTTTGAAGACATTCGTGTTATGTGAAGGCCATTGAATATATCTAGTTCGTTTATTTGTAAGGCTCAATCGCGTTAGCTTTATGGAGCCGATAATTCATTGTTTTTTGTTTGTAACAAAATTCACTTAATTCTATGTCTAGTAGGAGTTGGGCCGAATACTCGCGGCTTACTCGAGGTTAGAGGGGTACATTGTCGAAGGATAGAAAAAGGAGAGGAGCTTCCATTAAATATATACTTAAAATAAACTCTTTTAAAATGGATGAAAAGCACGGTTGATTTTTGCAACAGATAACGCTTGTAAAAAAAAAGATTACCGGGAACCGGGAATTATTAATTTTAACGAAATATGGACCTTTTCAGAAAAATATATTTGGTACAGCTCATTAAGTGAGCAATTTTAAATGCCTACCAAACACGGAATAATGTTTTTTTTTAAATCTCAGATCACATTCGATATATTTTAAGGACAAGTTTGAAATGTCCGGTATTTTTTAATATATCTGTTATTTTTTAATCATGCTTTGGGCTGATGATACGCCACTTGGACACTTTTTTAAACGATTTATCGAAAATCTCTTTGGTAGAATAGCATTCCAAAAGTACTCGATCAATTTAAAAATTGCTTTGAAGCGCCTTTAAGGCTTGATATTTCATTCAGAAATTTCTTCGACTCGTTCTCAGAATTTTTATGGAATTCTAGTCAAAACTACCTGTGAGAATTCGAATAAAATTGAAAGGAGAAACTTAAAGTGAATACTAAGGAAAGTTCAAATCCGTAGAAACCATTTTCAGGTTCATTCCTGTAGAATTCTCCTCATAATTGTCTTGAAATTCTACGCAAAACTACCTTGTAATTCTATTCTGAACTCGCTTGGAATACTCTGCAGAATGTTTATAAAAAATCTAGAGAATTATCCTTGAATTCTCTTTACAATTACTATTCATGTTTCCTTAGCATTATCTAAATACTCTGCTAAAATTCCCGTGGAATCTTGCTTCGAACTGCCGTTGAATTCCTTCTCAGAATTCGCTTGGAACTCTCCACTGAAATTCTTTGGAACTATCCACAGAACTTATTTGCCATTATGCTCAAATAATCTTTTGAATTCGCTTCAGAATTTTATTAGAAATCCCTTCAAGTTTTTATTGGGCTTCTTCTCAGGACTGCGTTGCAATTCTTATCATTTGAAGCTCTAATCACAAATATCTTAAATCCTCCTGTAATTTTAACCAGTTCGTTTTTGTTTGCTAACCTGGTTAAAATGACATACTACATTTTGTTAAAGATAAATCGTCTGGTTTAAACTTTTGTAGGGGTAAGGGTAGGGGTAATCATCATCATCATCATCATCTCCTCAGAATAACATTGGAATTCTCATTAAGTTTGACCAGCTATTCATGTTAAATACCCTACTTAACGAAGAACATTTTAAAAGGTCATATTTGCTTCGATCGATTCTCTTAATCGACTTTCTCTTTTGATAACCACTGCTATGCAAACAGATTTTGCGCTAATTTTACCACATACTTTGACAAAACAGGTTCTTATCCAGCGTCCAAAACGTCAAATACGACAGGGAAAGGTTTTTCAGCTGCGTTTTAACGATAGAGAAAGTCGACGAACAGAGTCGATCAATGCAGATCAGTGTCTGTTTTTAACATTTACCATCACACGAAAGAAGTAGCCCAGCAACCCAGTGTTGATGAATTGCGTTCGTTTTGAATATCTTTGCTGTGATGTACGAGCGAAAAAAAAAAAAATAGTTCATTATACATCAACGAATACGCGTTTGTTGAAATTCACCAGTGCTTGATTACACTAGTTTACAGCATTTTTGAACTCGGTAAGGTGATGATCATTTCCAATGCAAAATCCTACGCTGAATTCAATGCCGTGGTCAGTATAAATTAAAGTAGAGCCATTTTTGGGATATACAAAAATTTTGATTTTTTGAATTTTGGACAAAAGTACGATTACTAAAATGTCAATATCTTTGGAACTAGTGCACCAATTTTAAATCTTTTTTTTATGAAAGTGAAGCTAAATAAATTTTCTATCGTTCACTAGAATATTATGTCTTAATTAAGAATTTAGTTTTGAAGTCATTTAAAAATTTACAGCATTTTTTTTTATTTTTCCTGCAAATTTTCCATAAAAATCTTGTTTTAATCAACATTTTTAATGGGATAAAAAGATTAAAAAAAATCATTCCATAATTTATTCTTAAAGTCCATTTAAAACCGGAGAAAATGAGCCTTTAATGGATGAAATCGGTTGGAAATTGTCGAAGTTATGAGCATTTTTGTAAAACACTTAAAAATGTTGCTGAAATACAACAGCTTTAGAGTTCCTTTTCTAGGTGTCGTTGTAAGCATCCAAATCGCATGTAAAGTTTTCATGGGAGATTCTTTTCTCTACATTTCAATTTGATTAAGGCATATCAGGATTTAAAACCGAGTTGATACAACAGAAATTTATTTAGGTTTTATTAAAAATGATTGAGAATCGAATGACTTTGTCTTCGATGTTTTGAACTTGTTTCTCGAATCAGAAACCAACAATAGTCACCCATCATTGCTTCATCCCAAAACCCTTGGTAACGACGTTCCATCATCTTCATTTGTTGGTGAAAACGTTCGCCGTGCTCATCACTCTCGTCACCAAGATTTTCCGGGAAAAAATCCATGTGAGAATGTAGGAAATGTATCTTCAAAGACATATTCACACCTGTGTTCAGTGAAATGAAAGGATTTGAAATTAATTATATGTAACAAACACAATATTTTTGATTTATACCGTGCCGATTCAAATTTCGGACACTTAAACTCGAATTTCGGACACTTTTAAAAGTTGATTATCTCGGTCGAATATGATCCACATGTCTTGTAAATTTTAAATTTTGTTGACTAGTGCCCTCCACGATCATCTAACATTATTACTTTGTTTCTAACTGGATGTAATATTTAATTAAAAATGAAAGTGTCCGAAATTTGAATCGTCCGAAATTTGAATCGGAACGGTACCTATTTTCTCATAATTTTACCAATTGTGAAATTATCCCGTTTTGGCCAATCTTTTCGGACGTAGTGTTCCTTACGAGCTCGACTGTCCCATTTACACAAAAAACACATATATTTTGTGTATCTCTGTTGCAATCCAGTTAACATGGCAACCACTTTAAGATCGGAACAAATTTTCCAATTGTGTTGATTGTAATTTATCAAATTGAGCAATAGAGCCATTGATTCATACGTTTCCTTCATATTAACGGCATGAGCTAATGGAATAGAAGGTTTCTCATTCCCTTGATGCAGTAAAACGGCTTACAA